CCTGCATTTCGCGCACTCGACACGCACGATCTCCGCAGAGGGTTGCACTTTCGGTTGACGTTGTTCGTCCCACCCTCCGCCTTTAAGAGAGAATTTATCAAGTGGGGAAAAGTTTTTTCAATAAAGTGGGGAAAAGTTTTTTCATTAGGACATCTCCCGTGCTAGTTCATTAGGACATCTCCCGTGCTAGTTCACTTGCATACTTACACTTGCATACTTCCACTTGCATACTTTGACAGCTTTCGCTCTTCCACTTACACAGGGCTACGTATAGCGTTCATGTTATTTATCCTGCCAGTGTGGTGAAAGTGTCAATGTCTAGGTGTGTCTGAGTGTAAGTGTCGAAGTGTCAGTGTTCAAAGGATTTTCCGGAAGAACCCTTCGCAATGCTTTCGGGAAAAAACATCAAAAGAAAAAAATCACTGGAAAACATCAAAATCAAAAAACAAATTGAAAAGTAAAAACAAAAAACATCAAAACAAATCGAACAAAAATAACACGTCGGAAAAAAAAACACACCATAAACAATAAACAAAGAACAAAAAACGTCAAAACAAATCAAAAAAAATCGGATCTGGGCAAATTGTTGTTTTTTTTATTTTCTGATATTTTTGATTTGATTTTTTTTGGATTTTGACTTTTGGGATTGATTTTTAGTGTTTTAAATAGAAGACATACTTTTTCCATTTTGCATGTGATTTGGGTCAAATGTATTTGATTTGGGGTTAGGTTGTCTGATTGATTGATTTTTTTGTGACAGGGTAAATTTTACACTTTATTATTGATGAGCATTGTGAAAATCATTTTTGTCGTCTACCATATATCGGCAAATATTGACATATGCCAGCGATATATATTATAAAATACTATTGATATTAAATGATGCAGTATTGTGACCATCCATGGAATATGTGTATATATATATGTATATATATAAGATAAATGTTGTGACGTTGTACAATTGAAAGTGATCGATTTCTACTTGATCTTATGCAACAAATGAACATGATCCTAACATTGTGATAGCATTACATAGTTGAACATGTTCTCAAGGCAGAGTTACAAGAAACACAGGTTCAAAGGGTTCATTCACTTCCATTTGGCTATCGGCCGGCCGTGGTGCAAAGCGGCAGCCGCCGAATTCAGAGTCTTTAATATAAACCAAATGCAATTCTCAAGGTTGAGATTTCTTGGAACCCTCGCAGAAGTCAAAGTACAATTTTGTCATGTCGACTTCTGCAGTTTTCAATTGAAAACTCTCTAAATCCCAGGTTTTCCACTACCACCGCAGAAGTCCAAGTTCAGTTTTTGGATGTTGACTTCTGCAGTGGTAGTGGAAAACCTTGGATTTAGACACTATTCAATTGAAATTTGCAGATCTTGAAATATGATTTCCATGCAGTGAGTTCTGCAGAAATAGCAAAAAAAATGGTGCAGGTTGATTCCGGGACAGTCGATCTCATTCTGGAAATCCCGGATTTAGAGAGTTTTCGGATGAAAACTCTCGAAATCCATGGCTTTCGACCCCCAAATCAATGGGCTGGTAAAATCATTGAATTCCATGACCTCAATATATGCGTCTGGGTGATAGCTATCCCAGTATCCAAAGCCGCAAAAGATACCACCTGGGTGGGTGAGGGATACTTCTTCATGATAGTGTTTTGAAATATGTGTGATACCAAGGGAAAAGATAACAACATGTTGTGATAAATACAATGATCATTATGTCTACTTTATATGAACTTATTGTTATTGTACATTATAAGTACTCACGTATTTGAGATGCATAACTTAATGACATCCATAGTCAAAAGGTGTTATTGTTATCGTCATTCCATCACAGAAACATCAACAAGTATCAAACCCAGAAACCAGACCCAGAATCAAATACATTTGACCCCAAATCACATGCAAATCCTTACAGTTTTTTGTAATTCTAGGGGTTCTATGTCTTCAGGTTTTTTCCTGAACAATTCCCGCTACGCCGCTACACCCGTCCGAAACACCCGGGCGAACCGAGGGCACAGTCACGCCTAACTCTTCCTTGCTTTATTTTTTGTCTCTTCACAGCATGGATCAGCATGGTAAACGATGATAAACGCATGGTTCCAAGGTTTTTGGATGGTTTAGCGTTATGGAACCACATTTGGGAGTTTGATCTCTGGGTTTTGGATGTTCTTATCATGCCCATCTTCCACACATGACAATGGTCGAAGTTTGTTGTCCGGCGTTGTCCCGGTGTTAGTTTTCGCTCCGGCGCGCCTCAAGAGCCGGAGCTGACATGAGAGTTTTGGAGACATCTCAGAGTCGGAGCAGACAGACATCCCGATCTTTGTGTTTGTCTCTGTCTCCGTCTCTGTGTGTTTTTGTCTCTGTCTCGCGCTCTCTCCCTCTCTATCTTACCATCGCCCTTCTCCCATCTTCTACCATGAGGGGTGTTTGTGTGCGTGATTTTTAACGAGGTGTATGTTATTGCTGGACCCAAACTCAATATTGCACTTGGCACGGTATCGCGCATGGTGATGTTCGCTTGCTGAATTCGTGTATGGTTCGACGTCCCTTTTTTCGTACCCCCCTTCGTGTGCCTGTCGTCGTTTTCGGTTTCGGCGCGCGATTGTTTCGTGGCGGGTCACAGCTTTTCGCGTGCGTGCCGCGCCAGGTCGTCCAGCCGTTCTTCTCAGAGGTGGACCCCGAAGTCTTGGTCTCCACCGTGGCCGTGTATCAGCGACCTGGCGGACGACGGGAGGCCGACGGGAGGTGGGCGACCCCCGCTGCTCCGACTCCAAAGGTCGGCCGGTTCCACCGTCGGTAGGACCTGGTCTATGGGAGTTTGACCCATAGCCACGTGAGGTGCAAGTACTATACTTACTACTATACTTGTAACTTGTATCTACTTGTTGTATTGCTGTTGGAGGAAGTTGCTGGCTTATGTTGGCTTTGCATTTCCTATTTCTGCCAGCTGCTATGTGTAGCATGCCTTAAAGCACTGCTTTTCTGTTGCCATTTGTTGCCTCATCTAACTATATAGTTTGACACGATGAATGAGTCAGGGTCGAAGCTGCTTTTGCATGGTCTGGCAAACATGGAAAACTATGTTCAATCCAGGCCTAGGGCTAGGGAATAGCAGTAGCCCTCCACTTCGTTCAGATGATTGCAGACGACACTTGCATCTGAACAATCGAGAAGAAGCCTTGTGCAGGGACTTTGGCAGGGCTTGAGGCTCCTTGGTTCAGGAGCGATTGGAACAGACAAACTCTGCACAATTGCAATGATTAACCATGCAAATTCCTATGGCTGTTTCAGATACTTGATATCGCTCAAATGGTTTGGGTGTTTTATTCGGATCTGGGATGGAAGGATCAACGATCTGCAGAGCTGTGTAGATCTTCTAAGCTTTCCACGCCTCTTTAGCGGCGCTTCCTCAGGAAGATGGGCTGCTGGGATGGCGAGGTGGAAATTCCCAAGGCAACTTATGAGAAGCTCCTGGATGCCTTCCTCTACAGCCCCTCGCTCGGATGCCCCGACTCCGACCGAGTCGAACCCGAGTCGAACCCGCGTCACGGCGTCAGGTGGTGTCATCTCCAAGCGTCATCCCTATGATGCCGCCATTGCTGCAGTGGAGTGATCCGGAACGAAAAGCGCAGCAGTGAGGAAAAGAGGATTAGGGAGGTTCAAGACAGGGGGGCCGGGGAAGGGTGAAGGACTGTCGAGGGATAGATTTTGGAATATCAATTAACTATTGCATCAATTTGCCCCCATCAATCCAACATGTTCCAACGGTGAACTCCGGCATTCCTGGCGTTCGGTCATGTTGGAAATGCCAGACCGGCAGGCCTTGCAAGTGAAAAACCACGACATGTGCCTTGATGGCTTGCCCCCCTTCAAACACTTTTGCCTGGCTGGTGATGTCACTGGCCGAGGTTTGACCAGATGCAACGCGCAAGCCCGACGCTCAGAGCGAAGGGCCGACCAGGTGGAATGAAGCCGACCATGTGGTGGATCCTTTAAGACATCAGAGGTTACACATAGGCTGGGAAGGGGTGACATGGTGTGACTCACAAAAACTGCCTGAACCACCCAGTAACATGTCCGACCAACTCCAGGCTAAGCCGAGGCGGCCCAGTTCCAAATCCTTTGAGATCGCTGTGACGCTGCGCGAAGTGAAGACACCAGTTCCACCAGGACCGGAGTTGGGTGAAGCACCGGACACCCCAAATGACCTCGGTGCTCCCGTCACGGTGCTGCCGTCACATGACGTTGGGAATCCGCCGCCTTGGAAGCGCCATGAAGCGCAACATGGACCGACCAATGTCAGACAGACCATGGACCGACTGACCGACCCATGTCAGTCGGATCCACCATGTTCTTCTGCGGCTCAGGTTGTGCTTCTGCATACTTGGCTGGGGCACCCAGAGAAATCTTGGGCCAGTGGGCATCTCATCAGCAGACAATCAAGATTGCAGTACCTGGGGAAAGTATCCTTTGGTATATTAGTATATTAATATACTTATGGTATTGTCCGCGTGCATCCCAGGGGATGCAGGATGGACCATGGCCCTGTTGAACACAGAACAAGAGGCTCATGGATGCCTGCCTAAGATTCAGATAGACCAGGAAGCATCCAAAAAGATCGATAGAATGGACACTATCAGAAATTAATCAAGATACATTAGAATCACTAAGATACATGTCTCATACCAGGACCCAGAGGAGTTGGGTGCTTCATGGACACCGCTGGCGTCCTGGGTCATGGCACCGGGAGATATGAACAGACCGATCGATCCGACCCGGACGGGACGCACCGATCGATCCCGGGTTCGTCCACCGGGCACCCGAGCGATGTGCAACGAAGGTCAAGCTGTAAAGGATAGTACTGTAAATGCATCCACATCCTATAGGTAATACCTAGGTATATTATAGAACATTCACCAGGTATGTATCTAAATACACACATGGTATCAACATTCACGAATAATTATACCAGGGGCATGATGCTGGCGCATGCTTCCGTCCTACCTAAGACAAGCAATCCTTTGTTCTCGTGTCCAAGCCGTGTGATGCGGCTTGGACAAGCAATCCTTTGCATGGTGTGCTGAGAAGAACATGTTTTGGGTCCACCGACAGTTTCTCCTTGCCCCGCACGGCCAATGCAGTCCTCGGCAAGCTCGGCTGTTGTACGTAGCAAGTGGGCCTTTCCCCAACCACGAGCCCGACTCCAAAGAGCCATGCGCCGATTCTTTGGCCCCCAATGGAAAAACATGATGAAAACAACAACATGATCCATGCATCTCTGAAACACTCCCTGCCAAGATGTTGGTAAACCAGAACAAAACACTCTTTGCCATAGGTATGCAATGGGCATGCAAACTTCTCTGTCAACAAGAAAGGACGGGAAAACAACAGTGTGAACATGTTGTGCAACTTCGTTCCTGCCACCTGGGTTTCATGCAGCAAGCTACCAACTGGAACATTGAGGTCAGATAGCAGTTTTGGGATCCATTTGCACAAAGCCCTTGTAAGGGTGCCCTTTGATAAAGGCACGCTCCCACGGGACCTGCCTTTTGATAAAGGCCCATCATTTGCGGAGGTGACTTTGGTAACATGATTCTGAATTCAGATTCGATCTGCAGAACTGAACATATTTATTGTCAGACAGCCAACCCTGGCACAGTTGGGCAGCTACAAAACCTTACACACACCGAGGTGGCACATGTTAGACTGGAAAGAAGTGATGGGTCATCTTCGTGGCACAGAGTGAATCGCCATCTAGCACCTTGCGAAGCCAACTGCTTGGTTTGTCATCGTCCGACAAACCTGCAAGGCCTTTGTGACAAACCAGACACCCTTACTTAGGCAGTCTTGTTCTTTTCCAGTCTTGTTGCCATACCCGCCGTCCTCCCTTCACCAATAAAGGCCATACCCCCGTCTCTTCCGTCTCTTCACAACCCACGACGTCTCATGAAGAAACGTCTTCCCCTGGCCACTGATCGGTAGGCCTGGGACATACCGTTTGCATGGGTTTTGCAGGTCTCTTGGCTTTAGAGGCTTGATTTGTTTGCAGACCCACCCTGAGGTGCAGAATGCGGGCTTGCCCTTGCAACTTCTAGAGGCACATCACATGCTGCATACAGGGATCTGGAGCAGGGACAATTACACCTGTTGGAATAAATGTTCATCACTGATCATCACTGGAAAAGTGGTTGCCCAACCCGTGCGACATTTGATTAGGGTGGTGGAAGTCCAAGCACTATAAAGCATAAAACGCAGCAGAAGTGGACCCTTCCAGATCTTTCGGCATCATTTGTCGCCACCAAAGCTGTGATTCCATGTTTTACTACGATCATTTGCAAGCGTTTGTGCTTTGAGACATGTTTTTGTTCCGTTCGGGAAAGTACAGTAAAGGTCGTGTTCCAGCAATATCTACAATCTATAGCCTGACAGCAAACGATGAATCACTTAGATCCAGGTATCAATAAATCAGTTGGTATGCGTTCACAGGGACATGCTTTCCTGTTCATTTTAGAATATTGGGACTTGCATTGAACACTCTGTTTGTTGGGCTTTGTATAGTTGGGCCCGTGCTATAATAAATATACATTAAATTATGTGTATATAATGTACAAATGTTGTTTTTATTCACAAATCCTCCCTCGGATTCAGATCTGAACCTACGGTTTCCAGCTGTTCTATGAGAGTTCCACGTTGGAAACCTAGCGGTTCTTGCACATCCCCATGTCTTCAGCTGGCCAGGCACGTTGCTCCCCACAACTTCGCGAGTACCAGGTGCCAGCGGATCGGTGGTGGCAGTTGGGGGTCTCGTTCGACCCGCCCTGGTTGACAGGGCAGGTGGACTTGCCCAGGTAGTGTGTTCATTCTTGGTTGACCCACAGCTAATTCCTGCCAGGAAGGGACATGGTGTTTTCTTTGTTCAGGAATTTGTAACAATTATGTGTGGGGAATCGGAATAAGTGGCTTACCTCCATTCCAGGAATGCCTGCACCTCCAGGAGTCTCCACCATGCCTTTGGGGCCTCAACCATAGTGATGACAGAACTGCTTCCTCCTCAGGTTCCTGGCGACCAACGAGCTATTGATGGATTGCATATTAGTTTTCTTGCTGTGTTCTTACACGTTTCACACATTTCGCACAGCGCACCATCCTCAGCGAAACACCTCCGTCCGCATCAGGGGTTTCATCCTCACTCGCTTCAGCTGCCGTCGCGTGTCCAGTCGCCATTCCTCGCGTGTCCAGTCGCAGGTGGAGCTACCAGAGCTCGATGTGGGTGATTTAGAGTTGGAGCTCCTAAAGGCCGGAGATGTCATGCCTGGGAGTGACCTGCTCTCCTTGGGTGCGGAAAACCGTGACTTAGATGAGGTGTTTTGGGGTCAAAGTACCCTAGGGCTCCAGGCGGACATCCTGAGAAGATGGTTTGGGTGGGTGCCAGGGGTGTCACTATCTTCCGAGGATGTGGGCCAGGAGCCCTGGGGTTAACAACCCCAGTTGCACGGTTGTTTCCTTTGTTGATCTCTTTGGTCGTCCACATAAGTGTGTGTGTATATATAGTGTGTGTGTGTGTATAGTGTGTGCTTGTCTGTAAGAGGACTTTCATTAATTCTGTTGCACTCAGCAGGGGCGCAGGTGCCAACGAAGACACTTCTGGCGTACCTGCAGATTTTGCTTTGTTTTAGACCCTGATGATTGAAACAATACTGTTTTGGACTCATCGCCATGCCGGTTGCTGAGGGTCAATGCAGGTTTATGAGGCCCCTTTGCACTAACAGGACCGTAAGGGGCTATATAATGCATTCATCGTATCTTCACTGTTCGATGGTCGCACCGGACTTCATCTCAAAGTGTCTGCCGCAGCATCATTTCATGAGGCATGCTGTGTGATCCCGCTTGCGGGGGCAGCTTATCAGGAGTCCACTCCAAACTGTGTTTAGAACTCAGACGCAGATCCTGAATCTTTCCTTTTCCTGAATTTCACCCTTCCACGGTTTAACGTGCCTTGAAGTGCAACTATTTTTTGAAAATCATTGTCCAGTTGGGGGAATGTTTGTGCGTGTGTGCGCGTGTGAATGTTTGTGCGTGTGTGCGCGTGTAAAGTTAGAATGTGTGTGTTTGATATTGTTGTTCCCTTCTTGGAGGACCCCTACAGAGATCCCAATGGCCTACGTCAGCTTCCCGGCATCCTTAACAAGCACTGTTTTGGTCCACTGATCAGCTTTCATCAATAGGTGTTGCAATAGCTTGCATGGAAACCATCCTAAATCCATCTAAAACCGACATGATGTTTTGTTCAAGGCTTTTTACACAAGACACAAGCTCCATATCAGGGAGAAAAATTCCTCAGCTCGCAAACCCCATCTCCAACCCCCCATCTCCCGTGCATAGACTTGCGCACAGGTGGCTGAGGAGCTGCTGCGGCTCTTCCAGGTTGCGTTTGGTGCCTCAGTGCCCAAGTTGCTGGACGGCTACATCTCCCTGCGAGGCCAGGCGGACCCCATTAGGTCGGGTCACCATGTAGAAATGAGACTGCCCCCCTTTTCAAACCCGTGGGCCCATGATGAGAGCTATATTATAGTATAGTAATTTCACCAATTGATTGTGATGGCATGATGCGAG